TTTTTTATTTTATTTTTTTTATAATTTGGGGGGGGGGGGGAGTGTTCCTCCAACCTTTGTATAATTCTATAGTAAATTTTCTTTATTCTTGAATTACTATTGCTTTCAATGGGATTACTTATCACTTCCACTTTAGCCATTTTATCAGGAGTTTCTGGAAATAATGATGCTGGGAAGAAGAAAGTACTGCTTCTAAAAGGGAAAGAAAGAGAAATAATTACTGTGAGCTTCTGATTTGTATTTTCACAATTAAATATTTGGTGTATGAGAAATTGCTGTATTTTTCCAAGTTTCCTTTTGAAGGTTCACATACACCAATGGAAAGCCCTGACTTAAGCTGATTGTATAGTTGTTATTTGTTCTAATTTTGATTGGAAGCAACTTGGGTGGATCATTTATCACTTTCTTAGAAGCACTCATTATGCTCCATTGTCACTTTTTCTTGAACATCTTGTTTCTTTATGTTGGTCTCTTCAATGTTGAAGAATTGTCATTGATCCCATTTAGTTTGCATCAATTGATTTTCTTGTGAAATTTTCACTTAAATTAAATTGAATTGCATTTTTATTAAGTCATACATTAACCAGTATGCAAATTTTCTGGTGTTGGTAATACTTAAATTGTCCCATTAGTGAGTGGAAATGCTGATGAAATATGGTTTTAATCCAATTGTATTCCCTTAAGAATGGAAACCAGAGGGATCAAAGGTTAATATGATATTGGCTATTGTATTTTAGTTCATTGCCTGTGTCATTTGTGGATTCATCTGTAGGATCATGTTATGACTACCATTCTGCTAAGAATCTATTTGCTTTGGTTTGTGTAGGTATCTGATTTAGATAGCATGTCGCAGCATCACAATGTAACATCTTCAGCTAAGACGATTATTAGTTCAACAGTTTTGAAGCAGAATCAGCGGCATGAAGGTAGTGGAAGGATTATCAGAAGCATACTCTCAAAAAAGGAATTGCGTCAAAGCCAGTCTTCCAGGGCCATGTCTGAGCAGCAAGTCCAAACATCTAATATAGAAAAAGAAAAGCAACCCCCTCGTCCCTTACATGTGCAACTGATTTTGAAGGGCACTAATGGGACACTAGAGAATAAGATTGGTGTGCATGATTCCCATGTTTCTGTTGAGAGGCAGGAGAGACATCTTAGACATAAAGATAGACCTGACCGTGGTGTTTGGACAAGTCGATCCAATGGAGGTGATGAATCTTTCTCATCTGCTGCTTCCTCACGAGTAGATTCTTTGGAAGGTATAAGTTTTTTCCTATACATGTGATTTTTGTTTTTGGCAATTGCGGATTAATCCTTAATGTTGTAAAAGGGGGGAGGGTGGATTGAAAAGCACTTTTGACAAACTAAAGCTTCCATAATGATGCACAAAATATAGATGTTGTCTGTAGAAAATTGCTTACATCTTCACAAGTTGAAATTATTGTGTGTATATGAAACAGGAGGTCATGCAGATTTGAAACATGACATGCCAAATGCAAGAAGTGGGGAGGTAAAATCTCTTGGAAGTGTCCGTACCAGTCATTCATCAGAAAATGGTTGGTTTCTGGCTTTGAAAAGCAGAATCTTAAACATTTTTATGCTTACATTCAGGTTGGTTTCTACTTAAAAAATTTTACTCGTGTTTGTGTAGGTTTTAATAAGCATTTTGGTCGCCGTGGAGCAACACATGGGGTAAAAGATGTTGATGGCTATTCAGTTTCAAGTGAAGGGAAGCAACCTAGAAGATCTGGTACCTCTGCTTATGGTTCCAATGAGGTACTTAAATTTGAGTTCTGCATGACAATACCTGCATATTATTTTCTGGTTCAGTAAATGATTATGATCCATCCTTTAAATTGCAGAAACAAGTTTGGGTTCAAAAAGCAAGTTCTGGCACCTAGAGTATTTCGATTGGTGAGATACATTCCTTTTATTGTGGCTGTAGTTGCATAACTTAGAAAGGTGTTTGTTGATTTGCCCGTCTTAGGAATAACCTAATTGGTACCTTCTTTAAGTTTTTTGGAATTTCTCTTGGTCTGACACTGGCATAGAAATACTATTATGAGTTCATATTACTTTAGAACTAGTCATTGATTTACTGTGAATTTTACTATGACAAACAACTTTCTCTCTAATATTTAATTATTTACATTAATTTTTTGAAATTTTGTTTAAACTGTAAGTAGTGGTTTTATGTGCTTTTAATAGAAATATAGGTGGTATATTTCTGGTTTGACTTTCTTTAATGTGTGGTTTCATGTAGTGTATTCCTTTCCTTTTTTTCTTGTGGCCCTCTGCTTTGGTACCTTGCTTAGAAGTTGTAAATAGTGAAATGATTGGAATATGTTGTTTACTGACCTGACATGTAAAATCTGTTTTGATTAAGTGCTCATGTTAGCTGAAGAAAATTTTCTTGTATTTACTTGTGTCAAGGTTGATGATTTTCCCTTGCAGTGGTAAGGCTGCTGACTTACAGTTTTGGAGCATCTATTTGCTAGCTGCTGGATTCTGTCTCTTTTTGGTTGACAGATTCTTACAAGTAAATGAGTTGTGTGGTTAAAAAAAAATTCTTTTACAATACAACAGAGGAAACTACCATGATGCATTTGATTTGTCTTAAAGTATTCAGAACTTCATTGAAGATGGCTCCTAGTAAAAAGTGGTATTACAATTGCCTGGTGTCCCAGTTACGAGTTGTTGCCTGTTTGAAGAATTATGGATAGTTTTGCATACCTTGGCAAGTTGACCTAGTATGAGCATAGTCTGGGTTTATACACAAGTTAATTTTGAGTGGTTTAGTGTAAATATAAATCCAGGGTATTGTGTATCTGTTTCCTTAATTCCTATATACAATCCCCTATTCGAGGTATTGTGTATGTTTCCTTAGTTCCTATATCGATTAGCTGTCTGCCAAATCCCAGTGGGCGCTTGGAATGATCTTGGAAAATTTTTGGACAATCTTTTTCTCTCTACTTGGAATCAGCACTCAATGGATGGCGTTTCACGTTCGTGGCCTTTTGTTGACAATGGAGTTTCTTGTAGAGCTCAGACACCTAAATACCATAGTGTGTTACTAAGGATAAATAAGGGTCTTGCGGGAGTTATTACTGTGTGGATATTGATTTACTTCTAAAATATCATTGTACAGTTTGGTGTTGCATTTCTCAGCATAACGTAGCTGTTACATTGCTGGTTCTTGATTATATTGTCAATTTTGTGAATTGCTGCTTTCAGCCCAGGTGTTAAATTTATAATTTAAGTTATGCTGCTGATTAAGTTTACTTCCACCTCAGCTGTGGTACAATTTTCAGTTGCCCTTGACATCCCCAATATGTTTTGTTATAGGCAGACAATTTTGGATGAAGTTTTATCTCAGATTAGTCCAAGAATTCTTACTTGTTCATGACTTTGCAAATCATTATTCAATTCGCTTAGTTTCTGACTTAGCAAAACATTAAATCTAGTTTTGTTGTGTTTAAAATAATAGGAAATAAATTTTAAGGTCAAATATTATTTAGTTTTTAAAATTCTAAGGACTAAAATGTTCTAGTTGTATATTTTGGAGAATTTGGTGGTTTAGCTTCTTTAATTATACATTAAATATTATACATACATTTGTGGTTTAGCTTCTTTGATATTGATTAAAATTTAAGTTATAGTATTTAAAGGAGAAAATAAATAAATGGGTGAACTAAAATCATAATGTAAGAAAATTACCTGATTTAATAGATTGATAGTTTATATTTAAATATGGTTATCCATTTCTATGTATTTCTAAAGAATTTAGTGATTGATTTTGTCTTTAAATGAAGCCTAATTTAAACTTTTTATTACTAAAAAATAAATATAAAATTGTTGCAAATTAATTTAAACATTAATTTAAATTTATAAAAGATACTATATTAATTTCATCCTTTTTTTATAACCGTGTATATTTGTTGAGATATTTTTTGTTAAATTATACTTTTAGTCTTTTATTTTATTTGTTAAATTGATTTTGATCTTTTATCTTTTAAAATGTTCATTATGGTCTTTTATATCTTAAATTTGGATTAATTTAGTCTTTTTGAAACAATAATTATTTTCAATTTTGAGATGTAATTTTAAATTATTTTTTGACTGATTCAAGATTTGAAATTCGTTTTATTAAATTCACTTGTATGAAAATTGTTAAATGCAAATAAGGTTCAAATAAAAAAAATATTATAGATATGGTGATAATTGTATAAAAATAAGTCTGAAAGACAATTAAAAATTTAAAAACTATAATTTCATGTTATTTTTTAGCTGGTTATGAGATATATTTTTCACACAATTTTTCTCATGTTATAATTCTTATGAATTCAAACATCAATTGAATCTTGTAGTTTTTATGTAATTGAATTTATTATATAAGTTTTACATCTCAAATCAATAAAAAAAAATTGATTCAAAATTATGTCACGAAATTTAAAATTGTTTTAAAGAACTAAATTGATATAAATATAAAAGATGATCAAAATAAATATTTTAATAAATAAAAAAATTAAATGAATCTAAAAATACAATTTAATCTATATTTTCCAAATAGAAGTATAATTATTATTATTTCATTATTGTAAGTGAGAGTCAGGTAATGTGGAGACTGGAGAGATGGTCCAGGTTTAGGCACTCAATAGGTTTTAGAGACATATGGGACAGCTTAGCTAGGCATAGGCAAGCTATATTGAACCATCCCAATTCCTATCTTAACTAATCTTCTGCACTTTTCCTCCCATTTGAGTTTAATTGTAACAGTAAGTCCAACACTATTGCTTCTTGTCACATTCATATGCACTCTTGTTGGATATGTCTACATCTTCAAAGAGAAAATTACCTTAATTTGGTCTAGTTGTTAAGTAAAGAAAATTGAAAATTTTCTCCATGCAGCTTTTATACTTGTTAGCTGTGGAATCGGAGATGACTCCATAGATCAAGCAAGAGTATTGCCGGTCTTTATCTCTATCATTGAATTTCCCTTTCATTTAATTAATTATCTTCAAAAGTACTGTAGGAATTAGTGAGCCTGAAGGGACCGATTTTTTGGTGTTCATGCGCGCACATGTATGTCCCTACTCCCTACCCTTTCACACACAAATTAAAGGATACTATACTTGCATCATCTTTTGTACTTTCAATGCTTCCCTCTCACATCAAAACTTTGCATACCATACCAACTTTTCACAAACTGTTAATCTTTATAAAAGCTAAGCTCTTTGCATACCTATATGGTGATTTATTGAGGTCCAAAAATTTATTCAGGAATGTGTACATACATCTCATGCCTCGCGTATAGCACTAAAAAATATATAACAGAACTTTGTTTTTAGTGTCTATATATATGTATATATGATATGATTGTGCTGAAATGTGTAATGAGTCACCTAAAGTATATTTTGTAGCCATTATCATATGCCCTACTTTGACCTAAAGTTTAGTGCATATTTGTTACTTTATAGTTATTTTGGTTGGACCACTGCTATATCCAACCCATCAATGCTGGCCTATAATTTTGAATGTAGAGAGGTCATCCAAGGGAAGGGGAGAGGAGGACCTAATAGTGGCCCATATTCATTCATTCACTTTTGAGGCTCCTTTTAAAGATTTACCCTATTGCACATGAAGCATGCCGCCGGCAAATGGGAAAACTATGCCTAAAGTGAGTCCTACACTCCTATAGCACAAATCATTAGTTTCAACTCTGCATTTACCTTCAGCCTAGCTTGTTTGACTCTGTAAGCTGGATTCCACAGTGACTTGTTTGATTGGTCTACATTTTTTAATTGTTAGAGGGGAAAGGACAAAGTAGCAGATGAATCGCTCCCTAGTTTTGCTCAAAAGTATGTTGTAAAAGGCAAATTACTGATTACACTCTCACATCCTTTGTCACTTAACAAAATTTTATTCCTTGTCCATTTCTTTCCGACTCTATACAAATCTCTCTTGCATTGTGTTTGATACCGAAAATGGAAGTGGAGAGATCTGTATTTGGGAAAAATAAATAAGAAAAGTATAAGTGAAAAATAAAGTGGAAATTGAGATTTTCGGATAAGTAAAAAGCATAAGAGAATTGGAGAAAAAAATAACTTTTTATTAATTTATATTGGATTACATAAAAAAAAAAAAAAAAAAAGTTAAAATAATACTATAAATTAATTCCATCGCAATCACATCACACAAAGTCATTAAAACTTAAATATAATTTTCATAATTATTCATAATCACATCACATAACTACTAAAGTCAAAATTTGGATGAAAAGAGACTATACACTAGTTTTGTACAAGCCTACAAAGGACACAAGCATTACATCTCCACTCTTTCACTCGGT